ATAAAGTTTTATCGAAACAAAGTGTACGGTCACATAACTACAACTAGGGTAAATGACAGTGAGTTTGAGTACTTGTGGCAGGAAATTTCAAAAGCATTGGTTGGTCTGGGTATTCAACAAACTGAAATAGATGAAGTAAAGAAAGCTCCCCTCAGTCCTGATGAGGCAAATTTTATTGAAATGTTAAAAGAATGGTATAAAAAAGAAGAGCAGTTAATCGATGTCACTGAAGAAATCAAACAAGATGTGAAAGTACTAAATAGAAATGTTGTGGAGATGGCAACAAAAGTTACGAACATAAGTGAGGATGTAGCAGGAGTAAAAAAAATCTTACAGGACAAAACATATTTAGTTGTCGAAAAGCTTGGAAAGTGTAAGTTTGATGGTCTTATAAAGGATCTAAACAAGAAATACCTTGAAGGCACTAGACAATGGTTATTTGAAAAACTTGACACTTGGTTTAACGATAAAAGTGAAGATGCTTCTAATGTCATGATTTTGATTGCCGGTCCTGGTGTTGGTAAAAGTGTGTTTGCTGCTGAGGTGTGTCGACGATATTCTGAAAAGAAGAAACTTGCTGCTTGTCATTTCTGCAGATATAATAGATCAGATGAGAGGAATCCTGGAATGTTATTAGAATCATTGGCCTGTAGCATGTGTGATACAATATTGGATTTTAAAAGTAAACTGAATGAAGAATTACAGAGAAACCATTCCTACGAATTAGTCACCGATGCATTCCGTGTATTATTAGATAATCCATTGCATTCATTGGAAGATCATGAACCAATGCTTCTGGTTATTGATGCCTTAGATGAAAGTCAAGTTGATCGCAAAAGTGAACTATTGGAATTGATTGCAGATGAGTTTGACCGACTGCCTAAATGGATTAAAATCTTCATCACCAGTCGTCCAGAACTTCCTGTAAAAAAGGAGTTAAAAAACATGAATCCTGTGGAAATTACAACTCATCCTCGTGATAAAAACAATGAAAAAGACCTGCACAAGTATTTGAGACATCAGTTAAATGATCGGGCGCAGAAAGATCGCTACCTTCTTCACTCATTAGTTAAAAAGTGTGAGGGATCATTTCTTTACGCGTTTTACGCACAAATGAGCTTAAAGAAAGAAAATGTTGAATTTACTTACGAGAAAATTGATCAATTGGTCCCTAGTGGGTTAAGCGGTGTTTACACAAAGCAATTCAAACGAGTAAAAGAATTGTTAACGAAGAAAAGTACCAGAAATTCTGTTATCTCAGAAACTACTTTCATGCAATTTCTTGAATTGTTGGCTGCCTGTCGGGAGTTTTTACCATTAACTTTGTTGCTTAGCTATTTAGGTTTTCTGGTGATTTCAAGTCTGAAGTCCGCAGTAAAATCATTGAACTGTTATCTCAAATTTTGCCAGTTTACGATGATTGTTTAACCGTGTATCACAAATCTCTAATTGATTGGTTGAAATCAGATAATTACGAACAGCATGAGTTTACAGTTGATCCAAAAAATGGTCATAAGTTCTTATGGCATGCTTGTGAGAAAGTGTTTAAACAAATTAAGTCGATGAACATTTTTGAAGATCAGATGAACACTGCTATGATTAAATATGCTTTGAAGAATGGAATCTATCATATGTCAAAATGTGGCAAAAATGTTAAATTTAGCTGGGCAGTAGATGTCAAAGTGGTTTATGCGAGGTTAATGGTTGTGGAAGACATTAAGGTAAAAACCATTAGGTCTGAATTGTTTGAACTACGAACTTTCTTGGAAAAAAAAGTACTCGAGGAAGTAGTATTTCATTTCTTTATGACAAGAAAGGTGTCATTCATGTTTAATGAAAGCTTAATTTTTTTACAAATTATTGCAAACAGAATTCATAGCAGTAACGAAAAACGATTATTGGCAAGGGATTTATTAAAACAAGGAAAGCTTGTTTGGTTTGAGGATTTAGACTCAACATATTTAACAAACCATCATCATTTGACAGTCTCCTTGCTTGCTAACGTTACATCTCTTTGTGTGTCGTCCAATGAACAACTTCTTGCTGTAGGATATGAAAATGGTCAAATATCTATTTTTGAACTTCCAGAATTTAAACAACGATGCACTCTCGGCACTGCACTCGATTATTCAATGTTGAATAAACATAGTATGTCCCTGTATGACAAATATTACGATCCATTAAGTGATCCGTTTTCACGTTTTGTACGTGGAAACATCTGTTGTTCCTCCTTTTCACCTACCGGAAATAGACTGGTAACTAGTGATGAATCTACTAAAGTAAAGTTGTGGGACGTTAACAAAGGACGTTTGTTATTATGTTTACAGTCAGATGATGTCGTCAATCGTTGCTCTTTCTCAGATTCTGGTTTGTTTCTTACAGCAAGATATGATGGAATTTCTTCTAAAGATGTGTTCACTGCATGGAATTCATTAACTTTGCAAAGAATCGATCGACGCTGCGTTGTTGATTACCAAGAACTACAATGCACCGATAACTATTCAGAGTTCTGTGTTGCACAATTCGACAAGACTTCGTGTCTTTTTCAATTTCCAAAGGCAATCGATATTTTTTCAACTAAGAAGAAATATTCACTACCTTTACATTCAATGATAACAAGCCATTATCGTGATTGTATTTTTTATCATACAAGCCAGAATGGAAAGCTTTCTGAAACCACTCAGTTCACAAAATACAAGGATCAAGGAGAAATCGTGTTTTATTTACCAAATGTTAGGTGTCAATGTGCTGAAAGGGTTCTTAAAAAAGTCAATACAATCTCGTTTAAGGAATTTTACGTTGTGCCGTATTTTTCCAAACTTAAAATTTTCAAAACTGATCATCTTTGGAGACCTTCATTTATCTTTGAGAAACTTCAAATTGAATGTTGTTGTTTTTCACCGGATGGATCTTTTTTGGCTGCTTTCGCTGTTGGTGACCACGTCAACATTCATATTTGGAGTATTGAACGTTGCACTATTATTCAAACTGTACCAATGCAACTGAAGAATGCAGAAGGATGCTGGTGGTCAGATGGTTTACTGTGGATATGGGATGGTTCTGATCATCTTACGAAGATATCAATTTCATCTAAAAATTTTGTAGATTCTACTCAAGCAAAGCATGTTAACATTGGATTTAAACCGCGAAAAATCTTAACATTTGCTGATGTCTTAGTTTGTATTAAGGAAGAAAAGTTTGTTCAAGTTGTTAGAATTACCAAGGGTGAGATACAATACAACAAAAGACTTCCTGTTGATAGTTCAAAATTTGAAGCAGCAGCTGTATCACCTGATAATTCTGTTATTTTAACTGTAAACAAAACAGAATACACATTATGGAAATGGGGAAATAAGAACAATGAACTTTACTTGAAACCTTGGCTTACTACAGAAATACCCATAACGTCTTTTAATGAAAAATTTGTTAAGAGAAAGAAAATTGTAAATGATCTAAAGTTCAACTGCTGTATAAGTGATAGTAAACAAGCAGTCATAACATTTTGCAAAGGCATCGAAAGTATGGTCATTTATGTAATTAATGTTCACGAGAATGGTGATGTGAATGAGATTTTGCATGATGTCATTGAATGTTGTTTGGAATCCAACCTAGTCGTTCACAAATCTTATTGCATTGGAGTGTTTGATGAGTCATTGGTTGCTGTCGATTTAAAGAGTGGTGAAATATGCGCTAAATTTAACGAACATTGTTATATGCCTATTATAATTATGCATTCCAATACAGGAACTTTAGCTATTGTTGACAGTTTAGATTGCACAATTCAATTTTTAAAACTTAATGTTCCTGAATAAATACGTCAACTCAAACTTTAATAGTAAATTCAAAACCTTTTGAGTAAATTGCACTTAGATGTTGATGGTCGTAAGGAAAATTGCTTGTTTCCACCTACTATAGTTTTCTACAGAAGAAGTATACTTATTCTTCCAGACAATCTTTACGAAATTATCTATATTTACCAAAAATAAATTTGGACCAATTTTGCAAAAGATCTTTTAAATTTATCGGTACTATTTCTTGGAATGTCTTACCTCCTGCTATTAAAGAATGTAAAATATTATTTATGTTTTGCAATAATCTGAAACGATATATAATTGATTTTTATAACACAAATGACTTGTATTTAAAAAGAGCGCTTCTATACTAATTGATCATGAATATTTGTTTATTCCTTTCTTAGATTCTACTTGTAATCTTCATAAATGAATTGTCGTTTAAACAGGGCATCCTCTAGGTTAGACTACTACTGTAAGATGCTCTGTCAAACTTTTTATTATGTAATGTATCTCTGAACAAATTTCATGTTCATGATTTACTTTTTAATAAAAATGTATGGTTAGATGATTTGGTTATTTTTATTTAACAAATAGATAACATTTAACAGTTGTCTATACAGTTAAAGATACACGGGTATGACGTCATTGTGATAAAAACTGAGTGGCCACGAGCCGCCGGGAAAATCAATGTTTAAAAACCGGGTTTTTTCTTTTCTTTTTGCTCAAATGCGTCCAATGCTTCAACTGGGCATTCTTAATTTCTTTATTTGTCCATTCAGGGATATATTATATATTCAGGTAAATATTCAAATAAATTCTCCGTTCGTTTGTCATTTAGAAAAAAGAAATTTTCTGTGACGTCAATTCCGTGCGTCTGTCCTCTTATAGATCATAGCTCTCGACCAATGAAATTGCTCAAATTCTTCCGGTTATTATATAATATTATAAATAACACGTTCACTACATAGAAATGAAAAAATGTCGACAACTCATTCATTGTGAGTCATTTGATAATATGGTGTTGTTGTAGATGAAGATTATTTTGATGAAATTATACAGTGACTTTCTTTAGACATGCTTTCAAGAACTGTAAGTACAATTTAATATCGTGGAAATAGGTTTTGTATGCTGTTAAAAATTCATATGTATAAAAACACCATTTGGGTTTTATGGTCATTAGTTGAAAAATGTCAGAGATCATTTTTGTACGTTTATTATGTACATATGACCTTAAAGACAGAAAATGTTATATACTGTCAACATTTCCCATATGTAAAAACATCATCATGACGTCATGTCAATAACAGAGATGAAAATAAATAAAACTTTTACGATTTTGACATAAGTTCTTTTGAATTGAGGAATTCTATTATTTTGAATAATATTTTCTTGCATGTTTTAAATGTCCATCGTCCAGGTTGGTATAGTCCTGAGAAGAACTGTTTTTGTTGTTGTTACCTGACGTTTCGACAACCTTAGCGGTAGTCATCTTCACAGTTAAAAGACGAAGATTACTCTGAAGATGATTACCGCTAAGGTTGTCGAAAGGTCAGTCAACAACAATAAAAACAGTCCTTCTCAGGACTATACCAACCTGGAAGATCTACATTTACAAACATGTAACGATACTCCCGGGTTCAAACCATTTACTTTAGTATTTTCTTGATTAAAATTTTGAAGATTATTAATTCTCACTTTCTGTCTTCAATGGTTAAAGTAAAAGTTATCATCATGATATTGGGGTTGATACAACGTTAAATGTACAATTTCAACTTGTGACAATTGTAAACATAACAATAAACATTTTACTTACTTATAAATATTAAAGCTCAGCAAAGTGCTTGTAAAAGAGCCGTTCAATACAAAAATAACGTATAAAAAGGAATATTTATTTAGTAGCGTAACGTTTCGTCTTGGTTCTCAAGACATCATCAGACAGTATTGAATTACAAGTATAAAGGGATTTTTATATATAATAGCTATTTACATAATATTCAATTACATGGTAGGATGAAAAAGATGAAAGTAAAAGTGGGATAAGATGGTATGAAATGGGATAAGTGGAAATAACGAAAGAAACAAAAACACACACAATCACAAAATATACACACATGGAGTTTTCTTGTGAATTCCACTTATCCTTGGGCTTTATTATTTATAATAAGAATTTGCTTTCCGCCCGGTATATCACTGGCTAAATCATTGATGCTATACATTGACCTGAGTATACTCACTTCACTCTACTCGCTCACTGCAGTCGTTTCCAAAGAGTGGTTTGCTGTCGTTGTGTCATGTGTGCGGATGCCGTGTATGTTTTTGATAGTGATTTGAACTTCAAAAGAAATCCGCATGAATATTAACGCCCCCCAATTAAGTCCTAGTCAACGTAATTACATTCCACCACACATTCAACCATTTGAGTTGCAAATATGTAAGGCACGTGCCTTGCATTTTAATGAAACAAATAATATCTTCTCTGGAATAATGCTCATGAAGGAAATGTTGAACGAATCTTTGATTTTCAATCAAAATACTAAGTTAGAATACACCATAGTATAAAGTATAGACTTGGAGCTAAACTGCATATAATAAAATTCGTTATTTTTTTCGACAAACATGGTTGCCTTCAATACG